CCTCCTCCTCCCTCCTCCTCCTCCCTCCTCCTCCTGCACAACATGCCCAAGGTTGGTTGTCAGTATTTAACTGGCTTCTTCAGCCTGTAGTGCTTTGTTTCGGTGAAACTTATGCGATGTTTCGGGACCAAACCATCAGAATAGCTCGCAGAATCTCCTCCAGCGGGAATTGCGAAGGAGCACCTGGCAGCGACAATGGCCACCTTCTCAAGAGCGGATTGGAGACTTTTCCTGTGACAAGTCGCAAACCAAACAAAACACAATTCTGGCAAATTCCGAACACAAAAACTTGCAGAAATTGGGGCGTCTCAAAAAAGAGACTCCCAGCCTTTCAGTCCACGTTCCCTCTTTCGAATGTTTTCATGCTTGGATCTCCCCCATCCTGAGATACACTGGGCTTGGGACCACACCCTTGATATGCTGTAAGTGAAGCCTCAAAGAGATGCCCCCACATAGAAACAGTTTTCCACACCTTTTGAATATGTTTGATTAAAACGGATTCACTACTCTATATAATATATATATATATATTATATAAATAATATATATATATATATATTTTTCTATTTTGATCTATTTTTGATCTCACTATGACGTGCTCATCCTGCTCCGGCAGTTCTTCTCCAACCCACCTGAGCCGCCATTGGAGTCCTCTCGGTGGTCGCCGTATCATTAAAAAACTCGATCCGTGTACTCCTGGCAGGCGGAGTGGGGCGAAAGCGAACGGAAAATTGCCAGGCGAAGCCAAGCCTACGGCTCCTGGTGCAAGAGCACGAGGCATTTGAAAAGCACACAGGTCCGTGAAGCTGCACTGAGTTCAGCGAATTCCACTTAAAGTGTAAATGCCGCCTTAAAATGCAATTGTCGCTCATCATGAATCATGATCAGCTTGTCATGAGTGGAGCGTTTGAGGGTGTTCAGGTCAGGAGCCTCCTATTGCGGGGAGGGGAGGAAACTGAGTGCATCTGCAAGCAAGCTGCTCAAACGACTCAAAGGTTTTGCTCCCCAACAAGTAGGAAGACGTAGGAAACCTACGCACAACCAACACACTCTCAACCGAGGGTTGCAGCCAAGGCAGAAGTCCGCAGCTCCTTGATGAGTGGATACTTCTTGCGACACTCCTGGCCTTGGCAATGCTTCATCGAATGCGGGCGCCTATGCCACTGGAGCAATTGCAGCACACCACAATTCCCTATCCCGCGCAGGTATCGCAGGCTGTGTGCGAGGTATAGCAGTGCGAAGACGCAGGTGTTTTTGGGGTGGTGTCCATCCCCAAAAGCCTGCCATGGAATGTCATGGAGCTCAGTGTCCCTGCTGAGCTCTCGAAGCTCGGCTTCCACTTCCTGACCTGGGCCGGAAGGCTTCCACTTTTACTTCCTACGCCTGAAGGCTGACATCGTTGTCTTTGGTCTTTGACCCGAATGCGGCAGTGCAAGGCTACCATGGGGCACCATGGAAAGACCTGTGAGACAAAAATTGATCCCCTTCCAAGAAAAAGTGCACGTTTGTGAGACATTGTGGGACATAACATGGGGTTCCAGATTTAGTAAAATGGACGTCCTTCCAGCAAAACCTCAAAGCAAATTTATCTTGTGGTGGGACAAGTTGCACAGCTGCATGCCATATCCCAGGCCACAGCGGTGGCCTTGAAAAGCAGTGGTTTGCCGGTTGTGTCTGTGTCATTGGGTGAGCACGGGGAGCACCTAGTTAGTTCATCCATGTTCATCCCATTTCCCTGTCAGAAGGTCCAGCTAATATCAGCTCTCTCGGGGGCCCTCAAGCGTCCAAAGGGTTGCTGCATGTGGTTTCTCTCTTGTGGCAGCTCACCACTTGTCATACACAGCTCTGTAGCATGGTGACTCGGCTTGGTCACATGTTCCAACCGCATGAGGTCAAACTGAGTGATCTCTAAAAGAGAGCGCGCCCACTGGTGCTCCAACACTAAGCACCTCCCAGAACCCATTAACATGTTAAGTTTAGAGCCTACTTCCCAAACAAAAGAGTATCATAAATAGAAATGATTATATATATATATATAAATACACAGAACGGGACCATCCGTTACTCCTTTGTACATAGGGAACTGGTTCCTGTGCTTGCGAGTGCGAGATAGTGGGTAACTTTTTCAGCTTTGGAAGACCCCTCCGCCAAAAACCATCTACCCGCCCAAGCGAACAAAAGCCCCAACCCTCCACACTAAGCACCTCAATTTAAGTGCAGCTCCACGGGGGGCTGGCGAGCGATCAGTGTTCAGAAGTGCAGGTTGGGTCGGTTGGCCACCGATCATTGGATCTATGGGCCACAGCAAGCTTGTAGCAAATTTAGATCACGGTGCAAAGCTGAAGGTTGTAGTTAGAGGTTCTTCCATTACAGCAGCAGCTGGGGTAGCCGCTGAAATGATGCCCACTTTGCCTGCAACTGTGCATCTGTGCGTGTTGTAGTCATTGAGGGCTTTATGCACGTGTTGACCGCCTGGTGTTTTTGTCATGGGGGCTGCTGATTGCACGAGCAGCTGATTGTATACCTTTCTCATGATTCATGTCATTTGGAGTCTCATTCGCAGATTGATGTGAGCCAAGATGATCCGCGCTCAGCAAATGCCTGGCTACTATTATACCTCGGGCCTCAGGGAGACCATGATGTGCCACCCTGGCCAAAACAAACTTGTACCTCAGTACTGACCAATCCAGTTGCATTATAGAGATGGCTCATCGTGTGGCCCTCCTTCTCCTTATTTCGAGCCATTGCCCCACAGCCCGAAACCCTGCCCGTCTTACTCAACCAGCAGAGCTAGGGACTGTAGACTATTGACTATAGGCATCAAGTAATGGGCAAAGGAGAAAACTGAACCTACTCTGTTTGGGGATCAAGAAGCCCGAAGCGCAAACAGCAAACACAAACCATCGGTTACATCACATGAAGCTTTCCTTGCGGCGTTGTACCGCACAAAGATTCAACGTGTTCAGTGATCCGGCTAGACAAACATGCGTTACAGCAACCATCTGCCCAATCGAAAATGGCTTACCAATCCTTAGCGGGTGTTGCTGGCACCTGACCGAGACGCCTTTTGGCTGCAAGTGAACGTGCTCTTGGCGACGCCACCCCTGCAAGCGCGAATTCTCACCTGTGAGGAGCTTGGTCCTGGCGCTCATCGCGGCGTTGGAATCGGAACCAGGCCGGTGGAACCCGAAAAGCTCATAACATTCATGAATTCTTGTAAAAGTGAAGCAGTGCTTCGCTCGAAGCACGGCACTTTCAACTCAAACTGTATTCAAATGTCCTCTATATAGTTGAGAGGTGAGCAAAGCTTGGTGAAAAGATGTTGTCCGATTTGATCTGGCTCCGTGATCGGGTAAAGAGTCACACCCAGCTTTTCCATGAGCTACCTGAGTTCATGGGCCTTTGCCATGCAGTATTGCGATGCCTGCATCAAACAAGTGGAAGTCCTTCAGGCCTTTTGAAAGGGCTTCACTCATATGCACATAGACTCATATAGAGCAATATCATGCAATATCAAGGTTCCACTAACAAACAAAACACTCCTTTGTCCAAGTGCATACATCTAGGTTTGCACACATTCAGTCTCCGCTCAAAATATTGGCCCATTCCCAATGGCACATTCGGAACTTCCTCTTTACATGTGGTGCTTGTGCCCCAGAGGCCCATGAATCGCTAAGCATTGCCAGCGTGGCACTGACCTCAGTGTGACCCTGTAGGTGAGCCAGGTTCATTCCTGATTCCTCACTCACTGGGTACAAAAGACTCTTAAAACTCCACACGCTCGACCGTCGTTCTGGCCGGGCGTGAGCCTTCTAGGCATAGAGCTGCGTCACAGGAGTAGGGTAAGCCGTGGCTTTGGTGCCATACATGGCTTCAAAGAAGCCTTCGTAATCATGCACCACCAGTCCTTGAAACGCATCACCATCCGCCCCGTAGCGGTAGTGCTCTTCCATGTCTGCAACCATTTGAAAGAACTTTGGCTTCTCCTTTGAACTCTTCTCAGTAACTATCACACACAACTCCCTAAATCAGTTCGGCACAGTTCCGCAAACTTTGAGACGCATTTGATCGAATACGCCCCCCCTCCCTGAACAAAAGACACGAAAGAAAGACAATGAAGGATTGGACTCCTGGACCATCATGGACCTCACTTGAAATGGATCCTATTCACTCAACATCTCCACAACGACAGGCCCGTCCTGGCTGGCCACTTCCCAGAACGAATCACCTCGAGGTGCTCGTGGGCTGGTCTCAATGGCCACCGTCATCTTCTTACCGGTCTCCGTGGCATGCGCTAAAGCTTGGCTTCCCCAGGATGTAGAGGTGCTTGGAGAACTACTGTACGCCATGATCATCCCAACATCCAAGGTCTTTAAGGATGCTCTTACCATGTTCTCCTGTTGGTAGCTCCGGCTCAGCCATCCTGGCTTCAGTGAGGCCCCAAGCTTCAAGGAGGCCCCAAGCTCGTCCCTCCTGGCCATGATAAGCTGGTTCATTTGCAAGTATTCTGCACTGATACTCGTTGGCTCTTGATCCCCATCAATTCCTTCAACGGCACTGGCTGGAAAGGCTTGATTGAAGTGATGAACTGCGGAGACCACATCCGCCGCCCGCTGCCAATTTGACAAGTCATTGGGCGAGTCATTTAAGTAGTAGGAAGCAACTGGCACAATGCCAGCGTGCCGAAGAGCTGCAAACAAAGAAACGAAGGCGTCTTGGTGTGGAAGTTCCTTTGCTTGGAATGTCTGCCAGTCCCACTGAACCGATCCAATGAAGACAATTGCACGATTGAAACCGTGCAAGTGGCAAACAGAGATGAGCAACTCAATGTCTGATAATTTCCAATCCCACCAAGCATGACTCAAATCTCCTGGGTTCCACACATACAATGCCTTCTGGGCCGAGACATACTCCACATAGGGATTGGGAGATGTGCTTTCAACACTCGTGCTGGTAGCAGTTGCTGCAATGGTACTTGTGATGCTCGTATGCTCAAGTGTGCTGCTCGTGCTCGTGCTCACAGCGCTTGTGCTCGTGGTGGCTCCGCACTGGCACGGTATGTTGATCCATTGGCACACCCCGTTGCTCACACGGCACCACGAGCCTGGGCGAATAGAAGCACAAAGCTCATTGCCACACAGCTGGGATACCGATGTGCTTTCTTGGCTGGAGCTCGTGGTAAAAGGTGAACTCAGCGTCGTGGTGGGGGTGGCGGCGGTGGTGGTCGTCGTGGTCGCTGTCGTGGTCGTTGCCGTGGTCGTTGTCGTGGTCGTCGTCGTGGTCGTCGTCGTGGTCGTCGTAGTGGTCGTCGTAGTGGTCGTCGTAGTGGTAGTGGTAGTAGCAGTTGTGGTTGTCGTAGTTGTGGTCTGGGTAGGTGAATGCGTCTCGCAGCCACATGGCACATCAACCCATTGGCAAACACGGTTACTTACACGACACCACGATCCTGGATAGAGAAGATTGCAGAATTCATTGCCGCAAGAGGGCTCCTGCTTCTGCTCAGCCAATGCCAATCCCGTGACTTTGCTACCTACTTGGAGCAGCAAGTTCTCCTTAGCACAGGAGCTCTTGCCGGCGATTCCTCTGCAAAGCGATGCCAGGACGCACAGAGCAACAAGCCTCCGGGACGCCATTGTGCACACCCCTCTCCTTGGTGTGCACACCCCTCTCCTTGGTCCAAATGGCCTTCAAATTCAAAGTCGCCCACTTAGCCCACAGCCCCTGGAGTTGCCACTGCAAAGTTGCCACTGAAAAACTTCAAGACCCCCAACCCGGAAGTAAAAACCACTCTTAGACCTAACTCTTGACCTTCCTGGGTCAAAGCCTTTCGCACAGCTCTGCCACATCCGTCGCCTCGGGCTCCACCGCTGTCGACTTCTTTTTCTCCTGTCCACTCCTCAGCTCCCAGCTCGTTCAAAACGCTGCTCTCCATCGGTCAAAGAAGTTCCAGTAAACAAATGCTCCAAAAAGGGCGGAAGTTCTGAGAAAAAAACAATATAGCATGTTCATGCATGTTCTGAGAACGTCCTTCATCTTCTTTCCTTCACCGCATTTTTGACCACCATCGGCATCTACTACAATAGGTTTTGGAAATTCTGCACATTAAGTCGCTGGGGCAACCTATGAACGGAGGGTTGCAGAGTGCAAGAAGACGTCGGATGTGACTTTCACTTATTGAAAAGCACCTATGCGTGGCTATGGATCCTTATATACGGCTTGTGGCGGAAAGCGCATAATCCATCAAATCTCAGTTTCCAAAGTAAACCCTCAGAGCCTGAATCAAATGCGACAATTCTGAACACCCGCAACTTGCGAGTTTCATGTTTGCATGTCCGCTTTTTCCAGAGCCCTTGATAGTGGATGGTTTTTTGTTAAATTGTTGGCCAGTGCAGCCAGTCAAACAGGACGCAGGGCGCACTAACAAGAACCACCCAACACAGATTTGTCCAAGCAGGGAACCCTTGCCATGGACATGTTCTTTCATCCCGTTGAAAGCCAGGCAAAGGCCTCCGTTCAAAGCACAGCAACAAGTTGCCGGTGAGTGTGGAGGTGAAATCACATAGCTCTTGCCGCTTGCCCGTGGATTTGACCGACTAACAAGGGAAACGACAATCATTGTGCTCAAGAGTCCCGGCTACTCGATCGATAAATACGAGCAGACTATGCTGTCCTCAACATCAGCATTGAAGTTCTTATAGTGGCCCCCAAAGAGATAGAAATGGTGTCCAATATGTTTAAACAAATATTTGGGGGATTTGGGGGGTCTATTCTAAATTTCTAATCATCTCATCTTGTTCCATCTTGTTACTCGCATTCGTTCTACGGCATCACAAGCTACACAACCGAGCTGCGTTCAACTCCTCGAGTTCGGCGGCCGGGCGGTGTCCTCACAGGTGTTTTTCGCTTGCAACTGGCAACCGTGGTTTTCCGATGTGATTTTCTTGGCCAACGCATCCGTGGGTTCAAATCTAATGTGGATGAGAGGCTGCAAATAATCACAAGTGCAGAAATTGTGCTATGCCTGTGTCTCGGGGGGGGCCCGACAAATTCTACAATTGACAAAGCGGTCTTCAGCTGCACCTGATCCGACCCAAATTGCTGAACGCTTTTGTGCCAGCCGGATCCAGCTGGTGACTACGAACCCAATGGAAAATGTCGGAAAAACCAGCCGATCAAGTCCACTCGACATGTTGGGCCATGCGCCCAGCTCACTCGATGTTGGGACAACTTTGGGATGGCGAATGCAGGGGTGCGAACGGACATAGCCCCTGAAGTGACCCTTCAGTCACAAAAGGGGTGATCTTGACCTCGCGCACGTGTGATGAGGGTGCCCGAGCATGTCTGAAAGCACCAAGTGGAAAAACATGCTATACAGTGCTGTACAATGCCATTAGCAAGTCCTAGGCGAACCATGTGCTCGACCTAGGTGCCTCCACGCGAAGAAGCAAACAAAAGCTATGCAGACCACGTGTCCGGCATAGCAACCAGGCAGCCGGCTAGGTAGACCATGTGTCCGACCTATCCGGAAGCCTTCAAGGAACAAAACCTCCTGTTTTGTCAGTTTTAGCTGATCACGCAGCAACCTGCGTTTCCTCCGACATGTTGCATCAGCCAAGGGTTCTTCAATGCCTCTTCTGCATCGCAGCGTTGAGGCTCGGGTGCAAGCATTTGCTTCGTCAGCTCTAAGGCACCATGGCCTGCTGCATTCCTCCAAACTTTCCTGGTCTGGCATCAGCATGACCATGGAATAGTGAAGATGGGCGGGGGGAATGTGGCTGGTAAACAGGAACTGGTCAAAAACAATGCTGTTCACGGCAGTTCATATATAGAGGTCATTACTGTGGAAAGAATACCTTTACCGGAAATGTGAGGCGTTCTGGAGCAAGAATTCTAGAGTTTGTAAGAATGGACAGGGAAACCGCCACGCCTGCCAGGCCTGCGATTGGAAATGAGAGCTGGCCCTTTTCCGACACATAGAAAACAACTGAAATCATTCTTAGGCCAGGCTCTGATCCAATAGGCCCACTTCTTTCTCTTCATCTCCTGGTCTAGAGCCGATGACCAATTTCATAAAGGTCACTCCAATGCTGTAAAGGTCGCACTTTTCCTGAGCCGCTCTCTCCGCTGCCGCGCGCGTGCCGCACGTGCCGCGCATGCCGCGCGTGCCGTGCATGCCGCGCATGCCGCTTCGTTCTCTCCCTCGACTGTCTCACTGGAAGCCTTGACTATCAGGTACAGATAGGTGTCTTTAAAAATATATATATATGTTTCAGGAAGTATGCCCGCAGAAGACACCCATGTACCTGCAAGACCTTTTGAGGACACAAGGCCTTCCACGAGCAATTAACTTCAGCTTCCAGTACATGGCACGTCTAAACAAACGTCATTATCCTGGCCCAGAAAACCTTCCCCCCCTATCATCCCGCCCAAAAGGCATTGAACATTTGTACCTGGAGCAACATGTCTTCTCTCCCCATCCTGGCCGTGACAAACAACGGCCATAACTCGCTTGTCGGCGTCGCCGGCGACACCCACATGTTAGCCATTCAGAGACTTATTGAGGTTCGACATCTCTCAATTACTCTGACCATCCTTACCCTGTTGAATCATGTAAGAACATGTACGTCGAACTGGCCTGAATGAGCCTTGAAGCATTGAGCCCCCCCCCGGTCCGTTACAGGCGCCGATGTCATGATGTCGGCCAAGCATCAGTGTAGCATTGCTCGTGGACCTCCGGTGCAGCATAGCCACGAGTGCCCACCTCTTCGGTCATCTGGCCCCTGGGGTCAAACTCGCAAGCCTTGGAGCTTCAGGCGGAGAAGTACGACAGGTGTTGGAACATGAGAAATGTGAGAGGGATCGCTTTCAAGCTCTGAGTTTGACACTTGGTATGTCAAATAAATGAATCATTCTGTGTTTGAGTCTAAACCTCTACAGGATTGTACAGGCCTACATTTCGGCAAATGCCCGAAGACTCCGCACCAAGTTAAAGACACCGATGGGCCCAGAGACAAACAGTGACAAGAAGCTAGATTGAAGTCAGCCAGCTTCCAGGTGCTTTTGGACAGAAGCAGGTTCCCCGGTTTGATATCGCGATGTGCCACTGAGTTCTCATGCAGAAAATTCACCTCAGTCAAAGCTCAGCATGGTGCAAGTAGCCTAGATGTATTCTGACAGACAAACTGACAGACAGACTTCTCATATGTTCTCATGACCCCACCGCCAGTGGGGCCAGTGGGTCCGCCAGGCGTGCTCTCCCTGTTTGTGTCTCACACTCCAGCTACTTCTGTTTGACCGGCCGAGCTAGCCAAGCTGCAGCCTTCAGCATCTGATGCAGGATGAGGGCAGATTCCCAGGCTTGGGGGGCCGCAGTAGCTCCAGCCGCTCCTGCAAAGGAAGGAACGAGGCGCAACGAGGCGCCCTATGGCCATACGCCTCAAAGTCATGAAGTCTGACCATGACCTTTGGCTTCAAGCCGGAGCAGGCCCCTCATTGCATTCTGAGGTTGGCCGTCTGACCCTTGAACCTCAAGTGAAGGCTCGGTACCCACACTAACTTGTCGATCCTTGATTAAAATGCGCACACATACTGGGATCCCACTCCGGCGATACCAAACCTGGGAGCGAAGAAAAGCAACACCACCTCACAAAAACCCGCGGGAGAGAAGTGAAAGAACTTGTGGCCCAGAGGGGGTGGCGAAAGCTAGGCAAAGAAACAACGCTGGGGCTCTTTAGGCAGCAAAAGCCTGGCCGGGAATCGCAACATGCCATGGCCAAGGGAAAAGGAGAGCGCCAACAGCGCCCCCCCAATACGACCCCAACACAGCCAACACATGGCAACACACAACCACCCCAGCAACCGCAGCAGCAGCAGCAGCAACAGCCACAACAACAATAACTGTAACCAGCAGCGGCAGCGGCAGCAAGCAGAAGCTACCAAGCAGCAGCAGAAGCAGCAGCAGGAGTAGCTAGCAAGCAGCAGCCCAGCTACCAAGCAGCAGCAGCAGCAGCAGGAGGAGCAGCAGTGGAGTTGAACCCCGCGGGGGGGGGGTATAGTCCTGATATATCAGGTAACAGCACTCAGGTCCTGGGCTCCCACCCTCCTTGCTAAAGCAAGACAGACTCCAGCTAGCTACAGCTAGCTTTCGTGACAAGCTCAGCTTGCTGTCAGCTTTCACGACCATCGGATCCACACATTCAACAGTTCAAAGGGTCCTGGCCCCGCCATACCCACCGCACTTCACAAAGTTCGAGTCGATGTAATCGCTCAAGCTGCCGCCAGAGCAGAGCTCCAGCATCACGTCGATCACGCTTCCGTTAGCATAGACATCCTCAAGAGCAATGGAACAGTGCCCCTGCAACTGAGTTTTATGATTGGAATGCGCTGCATCCATGATACAAATCACAAGTGGCCTTTGGTTGTTGTAGGCTTAAGCCTACAGGGCTGCACTACAATGTCGGGCCCTTTCAAGCAATCATGATCACCCATGATTCATGATGACCCTTGCAAGCTTAAAAATACACCTGACAGTCTGACATGTGCTCGCTGGGAAAGAGCTGCCCGACAAACCATCTAGAGCCCAGCGACATGGACTCGAATGATGTTTTCGTGCTTAACCCGTTTCAGCAGCTGC